ATACATAAATATAGATAAACGCTGCCTTGTTCACTACTAGAGTGCTGGTTAGATCACGGTCTGTCATTTAGTACGTCTGTCGCCGGTCAACTCACGTTTCCTTCCACTGCACGTTGTAACCCCGTCACATCTCTCTCTCTCTCTCTCTCTCTCTCTACGAGTCTATTTTGATATCAGAAAATATCGCTAATGTAAAAAGGAATAAGGATAGACGAGTTATTGTTAGTTTATCAACGTGTATTGATTTCAAAAAGATGAGTAGGAGATTTTATTTATCACCCAACCCTTTCTACACGCACCATAATTACTTTAGTATACATCAAATTCATGTAAAGCGACATCTTTACTGTAGATACGGCTGATTAGAATATAAAAGTTATTTCACAAGCGATGAAAATGCATAATCCAATGCAACGTAGCTGTATACGATTGCAGAGTTTATGTCTTACCAATGAAATAAAATAGAAAATTGCCAGTTCAAAATAATATTAGTGAAATTCCGGAAATTGTATTGAAATTCTTAAATATTTGTGAATTTTTAGATTTGCCTTTCGTGCATAAGACATTCAATTATTATTACCATTTGGGTACTAAATATAAATTGATACTCATTTGTAATTATTGAACTGTAAAATAAATCTTGACACTTGGAATCTGTTGGGGAAAATATTTACACCTAAAAAATTGATACTGGTTTGTATTTATGGAAGTGATTGTACGACAAAATGCCGGTAAAACAAAACTTAAAGATAAAAATAGTATTGATAATCTAAAATTGTAGGTTAGATAATGACATCGTAAAATTAATAGAAACTATACATTTAACCTTTATGTACTTGGGTGAAGGATGATTAATTAAATACAGAATAATATTTATGTATTTATTTCGTGTGTTTAAAAATAACAAACCGTTAATAAACTCTCTGGGTCATCGAATGGCACCGATTTAAATTTGCATAGGCACTGCGGACATTTAAGAGTTTAACCATGAAATAAATTATCGAGACTTAGTCAAAGAGAGAGAGAGAGAGACAGAAATGGGGTTTAACCACTCAACACAAACTAGGTCATTTCGCTTGCGCGTAGGGGTCTTTAGCCGTGGGAGGAAACCGGAGGACCCGAAGAAAACCCACGAGGTTGGACAGGCGACCCTACTCCTTCTCACGTACAACCGGGGATTCGAAACCACGCCAGTTGACTCAATTGCAGGCCTTATGATACAGCACGCACGTGCTGACCATTCGGCCATCCAACCCCCCGAGACTTATTCAAGCACCGTCGCAATGATAAACAATCTACGCTACATTTTGTCATAACTTTGCACAGAATAGAGTAGTTTGACTGAAATTTTCAATATATTCATTTTTCATAATCTATTTTTATACTCCCACGTTTTCATGTGGACGTATATTGTCGTCGCCCCTGTCCGTCCGTTCACAATAAAATTGTTTGTGGACGCTCTACAGGTCACAATTTTTATCCGATTCAACGAAACTTGAAATATAGGATTCTCCCCCTAAGATCTCGGTCACTGACGATAATTGGCATGTATCGGGCCGTAACTTCATGGATTATGACCCCTGATTGTACGAACAATCGCGTTTTTAGCTTGTGGTCACAATTTTTATCTGATTTTGTTGAAATTTGAAAGTTTATAACCTAACGATATTCGTTCCTATCGATATTCGCGCATATCGGACCGTAACTTCCTGAATTATGGCCTCTGATTGTACGAAATATCACGTGTTTTAGCTTGTGGATCCTATTGAGGTCACAATAATTTTTATTCCGATTTGGCCTGCTTGCTACTTTGTTGTCCAAGGAAATTTATGAGAGACCTTTTTTTTTTAAAAAAAATCCGATTGAATCCAAGACGGGACATTATCTAGCATTGGTGTTTTGATGTTGTTTTCTTAATGAATTCAATAACCAATATGAGTACATTTAAATATGGATGAGACATTAGTTAAATAGAGAAGCATTTTAATCGTTAAAACACGTGTAGATCATTTTTGCATTTTTCAGTTATATCGGAAGTGATTACCCCACTTTAAACCGCTATATAATATATTCAATTTGTTACTTACTGGTGAAAATTATTTCATCGCCAACAATACTTTACCAATGTTGCTATACATGGACCAACTTGCCCGTTTTGATAGTATTCTCGCCTTCTAAACCACCCGGAATCAAGGAATACATTTATACCATCTAGAAATGTGTCGATTACATAAAAATGAAAAATTTCATACAAAAACCGAATTGGCATACTTATATCTCAATTCGGAATTAGTTAGAATCGAGGAATACAATTATAACATCTAGAACAAGATCAAATTGCTGCTATTAACACAAATATATGTGAAACCTCCCAACTTCAGTATGAATTTTAAAGTCACTGAAAATATGCATTTGGTTGCCGGAAAGGGGGGGCGGGTCTAGTGGTTTAACGAGTGCTGGTTAGATCAAGGTCTGTCATTTAGTACGTCTATCGCCGGCCCAACCACGTGGGATTGCTCAGATCCTCAACTCACGTTTCCTTCCACTAGACGTTACTCCCCCCACCCTCTCTCTCTCTCTCTCATCAATTTCTTTTCTGTCACAAACAGTCTGGCATATAGAGAATCTCGTACGAGTCTATTTTGATATTAAAAAAATATCGATAATGTAAAAGAGAATGAGGATAGACAGAGTTATTGTTAGTTTATCAACGTGTATTGATTTCAAAAAGCTGAGTAGGAGATTTTATTTATCACCCAACCCTTGTTACACGCACCATAATTCCTTTGGTATAAATCAAATTCATGTAAAGCGACATCTTTACTGTAGATACCACTGAGTTGAATATAAAAGTTGTTTCACAAGCGATAAAAATGCATAACCAAGTGCAACGTAACTGTATACAATTGAAGAGTTTATACCTTACCGATGAAATAAAATAGAAAATTGCCAGTTTAAAATAATATTTGAAATTCCATGTCTCGCCTTTTAGTGAAATTCAGGAAATTGAATTAAAATTCTTAGATATTTGTGAATTTTTAGATTTGCCTTTCATGCATAAGTTATTCAACTATTATTACCATTTGGGTACTAAATATAAATTGATACTCATTTGTAATTATTGAACTGTAAAATAAATCTTGACACTTGGATTCTGTCGTGGAAAATATTTACACATAAAATATTGATACCGGTTTGTAATTATTGAACTGAAGATAAAAATAGTATACTTTAACCTTAAATATTGACCCTGATTTGTAATTAATAAACTTACGTCATGCCAGAAGGGCATTAAATAAATAAAAGCATTTAGATAACGACAAAAGATTGATAGAAAAACAATTGTAAATTAGATAATGGCGCATCGTGTACTAAATATATATTTATCGTTTTTCTAGAGTGTTGTACTCGTATGGATTGCGATTAAAGACATACAAGATGTTATTTCTGTTATTTATTACGGCGTGTATAACTCAAAACGTTAGGAATTTGAATAAGAACAGAAGAAACATTATTCTAACAACACTACACGAGGATCTTGGGACAGGCAAAACATAAACGATAAGACAAACCTGAGGACAAGACAAACAAACACAAACATTGTAAGAAAAAAACACTCCCTTTAGAGAGATTTTGCTTGAAATTTACCCAGAGCGGTTCATACAATACTATGACACTATCAATCTGAATAGTTCCACATTCGGCACTTCATAGATTGTTACAACATAGGGATGCTTATATAAAACATATTTCACACACAGTCATTAAGGAATTGCCATAAAACATTTTGAAATTACCGTATTATAAATCAAAATCCTCCAAATTATATTCAGTTCTACACGGACTAGTCCCTGAATGTTAAACTCTAGTGTGTTGTGGAAAATATTTACACCTAAAATATTGATACTGATTTGTAATTTTTAAACTGATTATATGACAGAATGGCGGTAAAACAAAAAAATTGTAGAGAATAATAGTACTAGTAATTTAAAATTGTAGGTTAGATAATGACATCGTGAAATCAATAGGAACTCAATATTTACCATATATCTAAGGTGTTGTCTATATATAAAAATAACAAATTTTAAAAGAAACGCTGATAATGACATCGAAAAATTGATAGAAAATATAAATTTAACCTTTTTGTACTTGATTGGAGGACGATTAGTCAAATACCGAATAATATTTATATATTTATTTCTTGTGTTTAACAATAAATAAACTGTTATTTAGTCAACATGTACTCTATGACGAGCACGTAAAAGAACTGTTGACACTTGGAATTCGAAGAAGAAACGCTGCTACCAGGTGAATACCCCCACCGACTAAGCATTCCGGACGTGACAGTAATAAATTCCATATCGTATATGGGTCTCGAAATGGCCAAATACTGTGTTGACGAGACGTTAAACCCCATTTACTTTTGATTCGTACAATTCTGGGACACTATCAATCTGAATAGGTTCACATTCGACATTCCTATTATTGTTATAAAATACAGATGCTTATTTAAAACATATTTTACGCACATTCATTAAAATAATTTCCTTGAAACATGTTGAAATTATCGTATTTTATATCAAAAGCCCCCAAATTACACTGGGGGGCTACATTTATTATATATATACGAGACCCTGTATGTTAAACAAAAATTATAGAGACGATAGTACTAGTAATTTATAATGGTGGGTTAGATAATGGCATCGTGGGTTCAAAAGAAGAATGTTGAAAAGTTTTATACTTGGGGACGAAGATTAATAAATTACAAAATATTTTTTCTATATTTCCTTTTTGTGCTTAGTCCACATTTACATAACGAGATGCACGTAAAAGAACTGTTGACACTTGGAATCCGAATAAGAGTATAGAAGAAAGCTTCCTTTTGGTGAAGTATTTTGTTTTACTTGGATGGACGACGATTGATGGGATACAGGATATTTCTTGTGTTTATGTTAAAGACAAACAATTTATCTTCACACAAGTTTATTCTTTATTTACAGGTTCAATTAGAAATAAAAATATGGAAGAAGATGATGGTGGATGTTAATCTTAATATCCTGAATACAGTATAATATAACAAATAGATAAACAATTATAGTTTGTATACGCCCACATTGAAATAAGAATATTGATTATAATACTGGAAGAAAATTTAACTGTCAATCTGTATGAAATATATTTCAAATCTATATAAACATTTATAGTTTGTATTAGCCCATATTAAAATGTGATTGTATATATTGTTGTCAACAATGTCCGTCAGTCCGTCCATCGTCCAGGAAATTTTTTGGAAGCTCTTATATCTGATTGACGTTTAATTTATACACCGTGTTTAAGGTCATGAGTTATTGCCCTTGATCACTTTGACAAATCTTGTGGACATTTGTGAGGCTAAAGTTAATATCTGATTGACTTTAAATTATACAGTGTTTAAGATCATGCGTCAAATGGGCCACGGTTATGCCCCTTGATCACTTTGAAAAATCCCGTGGAAGCTTGCGAGATCAAATCTGATTGACTTTAAATTTATACACAGAGTTAAGTTCTTGAGACGCAGAAGACTATTGATAACTTGAAAAGCTAAATTTATGATATTAATTATTTTACATATTGAACGTTAGCATTGGGCAGAACTAGAAACCAAACAAATTCTAATAATTTCTGATAATTACTTAATGGGCTGGTACAATAAGATTTTAGTCGGTTGTATGTAAATCATCTCATTACTGAAAGGAAAAATATCCGATAATCCTTGTTGACATGTTCTGACGACTTTGCTACTGTGGGCGTATGTTTTCGTTTCCTGTCGACCTATCTTTTTTACTTTCTTTGATTCAATGAAATACGTGTCCATCTAAATAATTTTAGTAAATGTCTCTCCATCTGTAAATGATAAATCTAAGTAATTTTAGTTTAAAAAAACTCTCCATCTGTAAATGATACGTTGTTTTATTTGTTTGTGAATATATTTCATTACACTACTATCTTTGTTGATTGGTACCCGACCAATGCAAGATCTTTAAGGGCCCAGGTATCTGCCGGGGTGCGTTCTGCTGGCATTCTGCATCGAACAAACCGTTGCCGGTGGCTTTCAGTTTTCTCCGTTTTAGCACCATGTGTCTCATTGTTACTTTTCCGTAGGTTATAACGTATTGACACACATCCCGCTATGGTGCCCACTGGTTATAAGTTATTGGCACATATATGCCCCTATGGCCGCCCATTGGTTATAAAATATTGACACACATGCCGCTATGCCGGTTCAATGGTCAACTTTCTGTGTGCCATTTACTCAACAAAATGATATAACGCCCTACCTGCTCTAACAAGGTCGTAACGTGCGTATAATAGCACCCTCAAGATATTGTGAAAATAGCTTTTCTTTCCACGGTCAGTGAGGTGAACACTCTCCGTCACGGGCTTATAAGGCAGAACGGTGGGAGGGGTTGGCACTGGAATGCCTGGGAAAAGACAGACCAGAAAATTAAAGTTGCCTTCATGCAAATCAATGCAAAGCATTTATACCCGTTGTCAGTTTACGTTCCATTGTTTGAATAGATCTGCAGATGGTAAATGTCGTGTCTAGAAACGTGGCCTCGCCTGACGGAGAGAGTGCAAGATCGGTGAAACATGCGGCACCAAACATTCCAACAACAAATCATTTCTTTGAAATATATGAGTCCTCGACTTCCCCTGGGCCCAAACAGATTGTCGTGAACATCGTTGCCGCCGAAGGGTAGGATTTATGCGGTTGGTTGCCTCCTCGCACTCACGGCATTGAGCATTGTTCAACACTTTACCACCCCGAATGCCAAAAAGCTACGTTTGTATCGCGCGCTCCGAATGATGAAGATTGACTTTAATACTACAAATAAATCGACCAAGTCAGTGCACATGGCAAGGGCCCCTTATTACTACTGTAAACAGTCACGTTGACGCGCACACAAACATAGCCTGAAAATGACGGGAAAACTCGATGGATCCCAGCGAATCGAGATGTTGTTGAAAACTAGAGATTGAAGATTGTACTGCATAATGAGTTATACCCCCATCAGACCGGGTTGGCGCCCTTACTGCACCGCTACGGCGATGGAAATGGTCCCAGAGCGCGTCAAGATCGCCATAAGCGTACTTAAAGCGTGGTGTGGTCTACATGGTCTATTTTGAGCATGTTCAAAACAAACGCCAAAGTTCTGCGATCTGACCTGGAAAGCTGTGAGAACGCGACTATATTTCAAGTTTGTAATTTTTGGGACAGTTTCTTGCCTTGTGTTCACGTTTGCCGGTGACCTTGTGCATTTTCTGGTCGCCGTACGCTCGCAGCAGCGCAGTAAGGACGCCACCCCTGTCTGACGGGGGCATTATGAAAAATGTTCACCACACAGTCACCGGCAAAGCGTGCTCTTGAAAGTACAGCCGTTCAAAGACATTGAGCATCCCAGTTAAATAGAGTTACCTCCCCCCCCCCCAAGGCGTCGTTAGCCACAAAAAAAAACACAAAAAACAAACAGTTAACCATATTTAGTAAATGTCGCCTTTTCCCAGAGAATAGTATTTTAATGCTACGCTAGTTTTTATTTCCAGTTTCTGTAGACAATTTTAGACCTTATTTCGGTTTAGAACATACAACAGGGTTTCCCATGACAAAGTAGTATGTAGGCGTTTCCAAATATCGTGTTAGTGAAAAGGGGTGGGGTGGGTGAGTGCGTCGTAATGGAATGCAGTGGAAGAATCTTCGGGAAAACAGACCTGGCTGCAAAACAGCACCAAAAAAACAGGATATGTAAACAAGCCTGTTTTTCACGGCACCAAAACAAATGTACGACACAATCGTGCGTTACTTGCACTGCACCATACAGTGGACTTACAATCAATTTCACCACAGATACTACGATGAACAACTCAGGAACACAGTGGTTTTCTAATAAACGTTTTTATATCAAGCAGGGTTAATCCCAAATGCCGCAGTTTATAACAGCTATGAATATTACATAATATACTTAACCAATTTACCACTCCAAACCGCAAAAAAATTAAATGTGTCTGGGGATGAAGAGTGTGCAGTCAACCCTTTAAATCATTATTAAAGAAAGCGACAGGGGGTTTAAGAAACGCCCTTAAATACTTGAGGATAAACGTGTATATATCACCATAGATTCTAACCATGTTAAAAGAAATCATGTTCTGCTCCGAACACGGGAAAATACGCCATACAGTGTGCTATGAGGGTAGTGTTGCCCGGACAGCGGCACTACGGCATACTCTTATATCGAATTCCAACTGTCAAGGGACCTTTTACGTGCACGCCAAAGTGTACACGGGACATCGGTTTTCCATCCTATCCGAACAGCTGTCCTTGTCAGGCCCTCCGTCCTCACCACTGACAAGGGGGAACCACGCCGGAAAATCTGGATAAACTTTCTCGGCCAATGCAGGGATCGAACACCCGACCTCCAAGCTAGCGAGTCACCGGCTTACCCACTTAGCCAACGTGACCCCCTCCATGTAAAAAGAACAATGGGTTTAAAGGGCGAATGACTATATTCTTTAAAAGCTAAAATGGTCTTAAAGCACACATTGATGTAATATGAATGTATATAAAGTGTTTTATATTCGATATAATTTCTAATGAATTATGTTCGTTGAAATACGTAAACAGTCTAAATTGAACAACAGTTCTTTACGCCTACTTAGTCCACACGTTTTCTTCTTATTATTTTTCCGTTTGTCGATCAGTCATTACTAATTACTTTCACGTGGTCTTGTAGGATATGTTTTCTTTTGTTCATCACAAATGGCCCCCGAAACCATCAAGTAGACGACTCACGTTCTGATTTGATTGGTTATTTGAATCCATATTTTCACGGCAAAGTAACAACGTCAAAATTGGTTGAAACTGGCCGGTATCGAATTCTAATTTGTGTTTTTAATTTCGAACATTATGAATTATATTGGGTTAGAGGTTTAGCTCCTTTAATAAACGGTATTGAATTCTAATTTGTGTTTTTAATTTCGAATATTATGAATTATATTGAGTTAGAGGTTTATGCAAGACCATCACGGGAACGAATTGACGGCCAACAAACAGGATTATCACAGAAAATTCGAGTAAAAAACAAGCCATGCGAATCACTCTAATTAACAGTAACGTTTTAACATTGGCGAGACTAATTGCAAGCAAGTTCTTGGCATAGCAATGGGTACCAGGATGATACAACAATTGTGTAATTTAACAATGGGATTTCTAAAGGAAAAGTATACGCAATTTTATTGTAGAAATTATGGCGCTGATTACAGATTATATTTAGAAAATCAATTGAAACGATTCATAGAAGATGTATTCTTTATAGATGGAGACCTCCGGATTCTTAGATCGGGCGGGATAAGTTTCGATAAATCATTCGAAATGACTTCTAACCAAATCAAAATTTAATTCATCTATCACAGGGACCGGATTTCTTTATGTATCTAAATGCCCCGGTGTAAATTGTGTAATCATACATGCCAAACAGCGCCCAGATATAATTTCATTAATTCAAATATAAATTGTGACACACACAAAACCTCATATGTCTGAACTTGTAATGGCACACATCTAATGGATAGAGTACACAACCATCGGCGAGATTGTAACATTGGAAATAGTAAATGGACATATATTAGATGTGCACAACACCTACAAATCAAATATTAAATTTTCCCGTTTAATAAAATGAAAGTCGATGACATAAGATATATAATGTAAAACCATTTTATTAAATTCCAGTTATATCTTTATCAATATAGGGTTTTAGTTTTCCAGTATTATACTTATAGATATAAAAATTAATTGAACTTCGTGTTGTAGCCGTGAATGTTTTCTTTCCATGTATGTTTCCTGATCGAAGACTACATCCAGGATGACTGTTATTTCGATGTCTCGTCTTCGTCGATTAAGGTGAGTTATTGAGCCAATCAGAAATAACTACAATCTGATCATTATTTTCAAAGAAGCAGATTTTAAAAAGTTTGTGAATTCGTTGGTAAAGAAATTAAATGCAAATAAATATGAAAATACACGTAATCAAGGAAACCCACCAAACTCGCTTCGCTCGGTTGTAATATCTGCATTATTTCATAGCAATTTCCCCCTGCGTTGTACATTTAAATACTATTTTACAATAAAAAGGTGGCCTGTCCTAAAGATTATTTTTCCCTACACCCCCACCGTCACCACAACTTTCTAAATCGGATAGATTTCATACTCCTCGCAGTGTTTCGTTTGATTAGAGCTAATCCCACTTAACACTGCCGTAAAAGGATCAAATTTATGTTCCAAATTATGACTGGTCAATAGTCCGATTAACAATCATTACGCTTTAAACAGAGCTCTAAATTGGACCAAATATGTTTACATAACGTTATGTCATGACTCGCGATTTTATTATGCCCAGTTAACCAGTGCATAGCAGAATATTGCAGAAAAACTAATTGCGTGACAAACGAGGCTATCAAAACAGATACAATGTAAACAATACTGCGTGGAACAAGAATTTCACCGTTTTAAATACCTTAAATCACTGTCCAAAATTTTAGGGAAGACCCAATATTAAACGAAGGCTGTCATGTTGCTGTACTTGTAATAGATTTGATTGAACGGGAAGAATAGACACGCTCCCTCAAAAGCTCAAGTATCAGAAGCCAATCCAGCAATGGCCAGAGAGGGATTTCTCGGGTTATTGCTTCAGGAATATGGGTAACTAAGGCGGTAACTAAGATATAATTTCGCAGATAAATGTTTGTTGGATTTGCGTCCATAATGGACGAGCTGACTCTTATTTGTGGATGACTTAACCGCTTTTATTATATTTAACATTTGTGTGATGTGAGCTATTCGTGTTCGGCGAATCCCCGTCTTAAATCAAGATACAACTGATAACTGCGCGTCCCCGGAAATCATCTTATAATTTATGAAAACCAACCCAGGGAACCTGGGTTTTGTTTTTCAAGTCTTTAGGAAGAATTTATCGTGGCACATTTACAACTTAATTAATTTGAATCCAATTTTAAGTAACAAGAATCAACCAGTTGCTATGCGACTGTGTTTTTTCCTTTTTAATTTTTAAAATAAGTCAAGTGCCAAAATAAATCGAATTGTCAGTCAAGAAAAAGTTAGTAGCTTGAAACTAACAACACTAACGTCATGGTGAGTCAAGTCAACAGGTATTTTTAATTTGAAGTGAACAGTAAAATTCATCCACGTCAGGAACTTCCTAATCGGAATTACAAATGTTGAGCGCAGACTGTCCAGCGTATGTGCGAATACCTGTATAATTTCCGATAACTAAATCAGCAAGTGCAAGTGTGGAGTTAGTTCAGCTCTGAACGTAACGTGTTATAGGTCTCATTACACTCGCCCTGTACGTTCGGGAACTGTCCTATTGAACCCTTGTCGAAAATAAAATCAAATTTACTGGGCAACTTTTTACTGCTAAACGGTCGCTTGTCAGCCCCTGTGAACGCCTGAACAATGTAAATGAACATCTTGGTGAGAAAATAATCTTGCTTACCTCGCTGTATGAGCGACACAACACGCTGTTAAAAATTGGGATTTAGTGTGGAGTTAGTTCAGCTCTGAACGTAACGTGTTATAGGTCTCATTACACTCGCCCTGTACGTTCGGGAACTGTCCTATTGAACCCTTGTCGAAAATAAAATCAAATTTACTGGGCAACTTTTTACTGCTAAACGGTCGCTTGTCAGCCCCTGTGAACGCCTGAACAATGTAAATGAACATCTTGGTGAGAAAATAATCTTGCTTACCTCGCTGTATGAGCGACACAACACGCTGTTAAAAATTGGGATTTTTTAAAAAATTTGATTGTAAATTATTGTAATTGGGCTAGGCAAAGCAATCAATGACTGAAGATTCTCAACTTTCTAAAGATTTCAATTTTTTTCCCCCATGCTTAACTAAATTTCATTTCATCTTATATGGCCTATTCACCTAGATATCCAACAATTAATTATGAAGTGTGTTTATGTTATAAAGGAAACTAATGTTGTTATGATTATTACAAGAAACTAATGATGATGTTATAACTTTGTATATTACAGTACATGAAAGTCACTACAGAATAAATGTTAATGATGGTGTTATAACTTTGCATATTACAGAAATGTCGTAGTATAATGGCTGCTTATGATGATGTTATATTACAGGAATGTCATAGTAGAATGCAAGTTAATGATGATGTTTTAACTTTTTATATTACAGGAATGTCATAGTAAAATACCTGTTAAAGACGAGAACATGGATCACATTGGAAGTATCCATCAATGTAGAATGTGTAATGATGAATTTTATTGTGGCTCAGATTTAGAGGAACATTGTAAAATTCACATTCAGGAAGAAAAATCAGAGGATAAAACAGTTCATCATGAAAAATTTAAAATTGTTGTCGATTGTAAAGATCAAGTTGAGAAGTTGGACATATATGATGTAAAAGCTCATCATGAAGAATTTAAAATTGGTGCCGATTGTAAAATTCAAGTTGAGGAGGTGGACGCAGTGGATGTAACAGCTTATTATGAAGAATTTAAAATTGGTGCCGATTGTAAAATTCAAGTTGAGGAGGTGGACACAGACGATGTAACAGCTCATCATGAAGAATTTAAAATAGGTGCTGATTGTAAAATTCAAGTTGAGGAGGTGGACACAAATAATGTAACTGCTCTTCAGGAAGAATTTAAATGGCGAAATAATTTAGAGACACATTGTAAATATCAAGTTCAGGAAAGAATTCAAGTTGAAGAGGAAACAACTGAGGATGTTGAAGAATATTTGGCAAATATGAGCAGTCCAGTTAGTAGTAAAGTTGGTGATTTAGATAAAAATTGTAAACTTCATGTTGAGGAAGAGAAAATAGATTGTGTAGAATTTAAATATGGCACTGATTTAGAGGAAGATTGGAAACTTCTTGTTAAAGAAGAGAAAACAGATATTGTTGAAGAGTCTGTGGTAAATACAAGTACTGGTAGTCCAGTTGGTGATTTAGATGAACACTGTAAAATCCATGTTGAGGAAAAGAAAACTGATTGTGTTGAATTTCGATATGGCAATGATTTACAGGAAGATTGGAAACTTATTGTTGAAGAAGAGAAGACAGGTGATATGGAAGAGTGTGTGACAAATATGAGCAGTACAGGTTGCAGTAAAGGTGATTTAGATGAACATTGTAATCTTTGTGTTGAGGAAGACAAAACAGATTGTGTTGAATTTAAATATCCAATTGATTTGGCAAAGAGTTGTAATTTTGATGCTGAAGAAGAGAAAACAGATGATGTTGAAGACCCAATGGATAATACTATCAGTCAAAGTTGCACTGAAGTTGGTGAGAAAAACCTTGTCAAGTTGACTGAACCAAAGCCAAAACATGATAAAATTTCAAAATCATCCTTTAAATGTGATTTTTGTAATAGAATATTTAATAGAAAGGGTCATCTGAAAGATCATATCAGAATTCATACGGGTGAGAGACCTTATAAATGTGATGTATGTGATGAATCATTTAGTAGAAGTGGATATCTGAAAGACCATATTAAAATTCATACCGGTGAGATACCTTATAAATGTGATGTTTGTGGAAAATCATTTAAAGTCAATAAAAGTCTAATAAAACACTTCAAAACCCATAGCAGAGGGAAGCCATATAAATGTGATGTGTGTAGTAAAATGTTTAGTGTTAATACTGATTTAAAGAAACACGTGAAAATTCATGCCAAAGGGAAAAAGCTGTCGCCTAAAAAATCTAAACATGGAAGTGATTTAGAAAAACCTAATGAAATTCATTTTGAAGAGACAGTAGAAAAAACGAATAGTCCCATATCCAGTACAGTTGGTGAGAAGAACTTTGTCAAATTTACTGAGCCAAAGCCAAAAACTTCGAAAAAATCTCATGAATGTGATGTTTGTAATAAATTATGTACTACAATGGGTCATCTGAAGGAGCATCTTAGAATTCACACCGGTGAGAGACCTTATGAATGTGATGTTTGTAATAAATCATATAAAACAAAAGGTAATCTGAAAGAGCATCATAGAATTCATACCCGTGAGATACCTTATAAATGTGATGTTTGTGATAAATCATTTAAAGTGAAAAAGAGTCTATTGAAACACTTCAAAACACATAGCAAAGGAAAGCCATATAAATGTGATGTTTGTAGTAAATCGTTTAGTGTGAATAACAATTTAAAGGAACACATGAAAATTCATACAGAACATTCGAAATTTGGTTCAGACTTAGAGAAACATTGTACAATTCATGTTGAAGAAGAGAAAACAGATGATGTTGAGTCAATGGACAAGAAGAGAAGTCCAGTTTGCAGAAAAGTTGTTGAGAAACCCTTTAATGAGTTAATTGCACAAAAGCCAAAAAATGATCAGATCTCTAAGAATTCTTATAAATGTGATGTTTGTAATAAGATATTTAATCGAAGTGGTCATCTGAAAGAGCATCTTAGAATTCATACCGGTGAGAGACCTTATAAATGTGATGTTTGTAATAAATCATTTAAAGTGAATAAAAGTTTAATAAAACACTTTAAAACACATAGTAGAGGGAAGTCATATAAATGTGATGTTTGTAATAAAACATTTTATTGCCCAAGTCATTTGGAAATTCATATTAGAACTCATAATGCAAAGAAAACACATACGTGTGATGTTTGTGGGAAATGTTTTAAAAAGAAATCACATCTACAGAATCACATTAGAACTCATACTGGAGAGAAACCACACAAATGTGATTTTTGTGGAAAATGTTTTACTATGGACATTAGTTTAAAAGTCCATTTTAGAACTCATACCCGAGAAAAACCGTATAAATGTGATGTTTGTAATAAATCATTTTCTATGGTTAGTAACCTAAATAAACACAGAAATGTTCATCCAGGGGAGAAACCCTATAAATGTGATGTTTGTAGTCAATCATTTTCTAACAAGTACGCCTTAAAAAGTCACACTGTAATGCATAGTGATGAGAAACCTTTTAAATGTGAGGTCTGTTATCAATCTTTTAGAAGACGAGGGGCACTTGTGATACATCGTAAATGTCATACTGGAGAAAAGCCATTTATATGTGATGTTTGTGGTAAATCCTTTCGTGAAAGTAATCAATTAAAGGTACATTCTAGAATACATACTGGTGAGAAACCATATAAATGTGATGTTTGTAGTAAGTCATTTAACTCAAATTATAATTTAAAGAAACATTTAATGATACATGCAGGAGACAGACCGTATAAATGTGATATTTGTAGTAAATCGTATTCCGTCAATCATACTCTAACACAACACTTAAAGACTCACGCTGAAGAGAAACCTTTCAAATGTGATGTTTGTGGAAAATCATTCCACTTTAACAGTACTTTGAAAAAACATTTGAGAATCCATACTGGAGAAACACCTTATAAATGTGATGTTTGTAAGAAATCATTTATCCACCATGGTACTTTATCTCAACATATGAAAATACACACAGGAATAAAACCCTTTCAATGTGATGTTTGTGGTAAAGCATTTAACAAACGTGCTAAACTTACGGCACACATTAGAACACATACTGGAGAAAAACCTTATAAATGTGATATTTGTGATTTTTCATGTAGTTTTAATGGTAATTTAACAAAACATAAGAAAAAACATACACATGCTGGTGATTAACAGTAGAAAGCATACATGTGCTTGTGATAAACAATTAAAAACATACACATGCCGGTGATAAACATAAACATGCAAGTGATAAACAATAGAAAACATATATACATGCAGGTGATGAACAATACAAAACATAACGTGCTAGTGATAAACAATAGAAAGCATACATGTTGATATTTTGTTGTCTCATTTGATCACTATTTAGTCAAAATTTCCATTTGAAAGTTCTCGTAAACCAGCAGGTCTGCGATCAACATTTCTTTGTCTTATGTTTTGGCCATACATGGGTAAAAATCATTTTTACACTAGGGTAGAGACTAGTGCTAAATCGAAAGGCTCAGGTTAAGGCACTAAAGAGAACACCATTTATAGTCTGGTCGAGATAGAAAATTTGTGGGAAGAAATTCCTACCCAATTGATTTCTTCATTTTCTGAAACAACTATGTCCCTAGTGTTCCAGAAAACTTTTCCCCGCCGATCGGTGTTGAGCAAATTTTTTTACAGCATTTTGAAATTTTGACCCCCTGGGTCAACATAATGAAACTGAAAACCATTGATAACTTCAAAAATATCAATTTTACACCCTAGAAATGTATTATCAACATATAGGAAAGTGATACCAAGGATTCCAGAAATGATGTCAAAAGTAACGTATGACGTCACCGTGACGTCAGAATACAAAATGGCGGAACTATGACGTCACTGTGATGTCAAAATTCAAAATGGCGGAGACGTGTTGTGAATAAAGCAATAACAGCAAGCAAATAGACAAGAGGAACATTCTGGACACCATAAAATATTCATTCGGGTCATCATCAATAAAATCATCAAAATATTCTTCAGTTCTGATTTGTTCTGCCCCGTACCAAATTCATCTTCTAAATCGATGCTGATTTGTTGGCTATTCAGACAACCCTCCCCATGGCATCCTCCACGCGCTTCAACACATTTCAAACCATTCTTTGTACAAGAACGTGACGAGCATTGGTTTTTCAATGATTTACATTTACACCGAATGAAATTCAGAACGTTTTCTGGTGCTGATGGAAGAACAGTCGCGATGGGAACGTGTCTATTCTCTATCACTTGCCAACCCCAATTCACAGGATCGACGCCATCGTCTAGTTCATCCCAAATTCTAACCTGAACATGGACGCGGTGAGCATGCTGCTCGGCCGCGGCAGCTGTTGGAGGAAGTCTATTGATTTGAATGGAAATTTTTTTCAGCGATCATAGCTTTGTACCTTAGGTACCAGACTTTAGTCAGAGGTATCTCATTTTTGTTACCATACATTACACAGAATAACCTTTCTCCAGCTTCAGATACTTCGGACTGGGAACTTCCAGGTGAAGCTATTGTCTTGCTAGCTTCCCGAAAGATGGCACTGTTCGTATGTTTAAGAAGTCTCAATTTACAGAATCCGAAACAACCAGAAGTGGTATCACACCCAGACCAGGCGTGAATGAACAATAAATTGTCTAATACAGTTTTCAGTGTTGGCCAGAAACTGGCCTTGACTATAGATAACTGTGGTGTCCGATTTCCCTCGCCAATCGTCGTGGTCGACGGCTATGAACCAAACACGACGATTGGCGAGGGAAATCTTTTTACAAATGACCGATAGTTTTCTAAGATGATAAGAGATATTCATCGTGTTCGACGGCTATGAACCAGATATTAAGGATCATGAGCACGGGCGCCAAGCTGCTACGTCTAAATGGTGGTGGGTGGTGTTCTTTTCTTAAATAGGTAGACAATATATATTCTGACTTTGCCCCTGTTATAAAACCTAACCTAACCATTTCACCTGTGTCAATAAATAATTCGATATATTCAACCAATCAAACAAACCTATATTTATTCAGCTAATCAACAAAAGATAAAACAATAATTCACACCCCGGGATTGCAAAATCCACGAAGATATACCTGAAACTTTTGTTGACTTATAAGATAACAGTTATATAGATAACTAAAATCCCAGTTAAAGAGAATCGTTTAATTTTGTTTTGTCACATTGTAGAAATAGCTTCCATATTTTATAATGCTTTCTTCAAAAATTAATTTCTAAATATAGAACTCGACGTACATGTGTAAAGTTTACACACGTTTTACTTTTTAGCTTTGATATGGCGTTCCATCACCTTTTGAAATCCTGAACTGCGTTGGATTAAGACATAGAGATATCCATGGTGGTATTGCCAAGTATCACCCATTAGCTGTACAATATTTCAATTAAAATGTAAAATTAAAAAAGTATATTAGCCCAACAATAAAATTATTGCCTTCCCGAATTTACAGTAATTTCTATTGATTTCATAGGGAAAGAGAAATTGGGTTTAACGTCCACTCGACACAAACTATGTTCAGTTCTATTTCAATAATTCGCTTGCGCGTAGGGGTCTTTTGTAGTGGGAGGAAACCGGAGGACCCGGAGAAAACCTACGAGGTTGGACAGGCGACCATACTCTTTGTCACGCACAACCGGGGAAACGAAACTCCGCCAGTTGACTCAATGACAGACCGTATGATACAGCGCGCACGTGATAACCATTCGGCCATCCAATCCCCCCGATTTCATGATGAACCCCCTCTACTATAGAGTCCAATAATGACATTCTTTATTTTAACTATTTATATCTTCTATTATCTTTTAGATATTTTATTTACAAAACATCTTGTATTATCAATGTTTGATCATCTAATCTTATTTTTATCTGAAAGAACGAGTATATGCTTTCGGTAAGAAATATATTTTCCCGATATTCTGGATATGTTTTCCAAGCGATGGTTTAGCACAAAGCCGTATACATTTCTCTGGTGCCCGATTTCCCTCGCCAATCGTCGTGTTCGACGGCTATGAACCAAACACGACGATTGGCGAGGGAAATCTTTTTACAAATGACCGATAGTTTTCTAAGATGTTGGAGATATTCATCGTGTTCGACGGCTATGAACCAAATATTAAGGATCATGAGCACGAGCGCCGAGCTGCTACGTCTAAATATAGGAACAGTGACATTTCTCTGAAATCGGACACCACAGTTATCTATAGTCAAGGCCAGTTTCTGGCCAACACTGAAAACAAAATCCGTCTAATCAATCAGGTAGTCAACGATCTTGAATCCCATGGAGTCCCGACAAAATGGTACAATGGTGATGCAGATGTCACTATTACGAAGACGTGCATTGACTATGTAGAAATGGTCAACCTGTAATGACACAGATATTTTGGTCTCATTACTGCACCACGCGAAACCAGAAATGGCGACAATTCATCTTTGCCACTTGGACAAAAAGCGCAACACCTATGACATAAAATCAGTCTGCAGCGCAATGGATAAAACTGTATTAGACAATTTATTGTTCATTCACGCCTGGTCTGGGTGTGATACCACTTCTGGTTGTTTCGGATGCTGTGAATTGGGACTTCTTAAACATACAAACAGTGATATATTTCAGGAAGCAAGCTAGACAATAGCTTCACCTGGAAGTTCCCAGTCCGAAGTATCTGAAGCTGGAGAAAGGTTATTCTGTGTAATGTATTGTCACAACTAAAGTCCGGTACCTAAGGTACAAAGCTATGATCGCTGAAAAAATTTCCATTCAAATCAATAGACTGCTGCCTCAGCCGAGCAGCATGCTCACCGCGTCCATGTTAAGGTTAGAATTTGGGATGAACTAGTCGCGATGGCGTCGACCTTGTGAATTGGGGTGGGCAAGTGATAGAGAATAGATACGTTCCCATCGCGACTGTTCTTCCATCAGCACCAGACAACGTTCTGAATTTCATTCGGTGTAAATGTAAATCGTTGAAAAACCAATGCTCGTCATGTTCTTGTACACAGAATGGTTTGAAATGTGTTGAAGCGCGTGGAGGATGCCATGGGGAGGGTTGTCTGAATAGCCAACAAATCAGCATTGATTTAGAAGATGAATTTGGTACGGGGCAGAACAAATCAGAACTGAAGAATATTTTGATGATTTTATTGATGATGATCCGAATGAATATTTTATGGTGTCCAGAATGTTCCTCTTGTCTATTTGCTTGCTGTTGTTGCTTTATTCACAACACGTCTCCGCCATTTTGAATTTTGACATCACAGTGACGTCATAGTTCCGCCATTTTGTATTCTGACGTCACGGTGACGTCTTACGTTATTTTTGACATCATTTCTGGAATCCTTGGTATCACTTTCCTATATGTTGATAATACATTTCTAGGGTGTACAATTGATATTTTTGAAGTTATAAATGGTTGTCAGTTTCATTATGTTGACCCAGGGGGTCAAAATTTCAAAATGCTGTAAAAAATTTTGCTCAACTCTGATCGGCGGGGAAAATTTTTCTGGAACACTAGGGACATAGTTGTTTCAGAAAATGAAGAAATCATTTGGGTAGGAATTTCTTCCCACAAAGCTGGATTTGTCACCTTCTCCAACCAGCCTATTATACTCAACTACAAGACAACCTTAACACAAGCGTAACCCGTGACTTGAAGTGACCCATTGTGTGATTCATAATTATCTTCATTATGTGTTATATACTGCATCTTGTATTACATTTTATGCAATAAATAAATGTTATCTTATGTCATTTTATTATTTACCCATTGACCAAACAGCTCGGTACTTCTGTCCACTTGTCCATAGTGCATGTCTGTTTAGTCATTTTCGTCATTTGGATTTCAAAGACATTTGATAGTTATGTTGCTGAGGTGGGGTTTATCTGAGTGAGGGGGGAGCTTTAGATAAACCAATAAGGGCAGAGGCTTCTTGATCATTCCTACAAACGCTTCACAATGAGTTTAACTATTGTTCTAGCACATATTATATTATATTTGGTAAACAGATGTGTCTTTAGTGTTGGGGGGGGGGGGGGAGAATGGTTAGCACGTGCGCGCTGCACTGTATCATACGGTCTGTCATTGAGTCAACTGGTGGGGTTTCGATTCCCCGATTGTACGTGACAAGGAGTAGGGTCGCCTGTCCAACCTCATGTGTTTTCTCCGGGTCTTCCGGTTTCCTCCCAGTGCTAAAGACCCCTACGCGCAAGTGAATTATTGAAATAAAATTGAACCATGTGTTAGTCCCGAAATGACCTAGTTTGTGTCAAGTGGACGTTAAACCCCATTTCTCTCTCTCTCATTAGTGTTGACATAAAACTTGAGGTGTCGTGCTGATCTGTTGGGGAAGTTCCTTCCATAAATATGCACCATGAACTGGTCAATGAAGAGTATACTTCTGTTAAAGCACGAACTGACTATGATCTAATTAAACATGTGATTAATCCCATATGTCATTTACAAACTACATATGATCTGAGTACAAGCTCTTCATGACTTCAAAGGAATACGCACAGGTCAGTAAGCATACCATGACGTGATAAAGGGACAATCGCATGTATGATCATGAGTCTTATCTACTGTCGGAGTGTATATAAGCAGGCGTTTGCAGACGTTTAAAGAGAGGAGGAGAGACGCACATACGAGACGACCTGAGACGAGAGGGGAGAAGAAGAGAGGCTTGGACGAGTGCATGGACTCATCCAAGTTCAGCCGCTGCCTTGGCAGAGGGCCGGAATGGTGGATGTAATATTGTTATACGTGTCCCTGTCGTAGTCTGGTTGCCGATGTAGTCTAGTTCCTGTTGTATGTATGTAACTGTAGATGTTTATATACCTGATGTAAATAAATCATATATTTACGAAACTGATCTCTGTTATCACTAATATAGTGTTACAACTATATGCAAGGGGTGATGCAACTGGGACAATTTAATGTATAACAAATTATTCAGATAAACTTGTTTGCCCCATTGGGGCAGGGTAGGGGTATATGTAGCTTGAACGAGTATATACAGTACCTTATTAGGTCAAGAAAATTTACCTGTGTATAGCGTTACTTGGCTCCTTTCTTTCTCTCTCATGTTTTTTTTTATTTCCGCCTTGAGATGTTTTTGAAAATTTGTTGTTGTATCTTTGATTTTATCAAGAATTATTTCATATTCACACTAAGCGAAATCTCCAATACAAGCGGTCGCGGTGTCTCGGTGGGCGAGGGGCAAGCTTACTAACCAAGGGGCCGAGGTTTTAACTCCCGGGGGTTTTCGGTGTATTTTCTGCATGATGTTAATGACGGGGGGCCTGGCAAGGAACAGCATCTTGTCCACCATCAGATGGGACGCGAAAACCAGGTGCCTTATACAAATCATCCTCGGTATCCCCAGTGTTCTCGTCCCGTGCTACTCCACTATACCCTAGGTTAATATATAGGAGGCAGACCACCATTAAATTGTAGTTCGTCTATTTATAGCAATTCCTTCCCTCTCTCCTCTTCCGCATTTTTGTTGATTTTTTGGTCTAGAATGGACAAAGAGGGTTTGAATTAACATTTTCTGACAGGTTTTGGTAAATATTCTTGGCGGAAGGATACCACAGTTAACATGTTGATTACGGTGATATGTACGGAGAATAGTTACATGTTTTAGTGTGCTACTTCAAGGATGTGTATCTCCAAATTTTGGTGGTCAACCTCATACAAATTTTGGTGCAAAGACATGACCATTTGCTTCTCTGTCTGTAATGAAAAGCATTCAGCCCAACGAAAATGTGGGGAAAAGTTGGAGATGGGCAAAGAGACAGAATTAACATTGAAGTCAATGGGGAATAATGGAGGTCTGCCTCCCTATGGGGTATTCCAGCATTGTTCACGTTTACAACAATATGCCGAGATCAACCTGGGGCCTGTTTCACAAAATTTTAACTGAGATAAAATCCGAATTTTAGTAATTTGATTGGATAATATTAGATTGATTTTAGTGCTTAGCCAATCAAAATTGAGGTATCTACTAAAATTTGGATTTTGTCTTTAGTTAAAATTTCGTGAAACAGGGCCCTGGCATACTATAAGTAGGGTGTCCCGTGCAGCGAACTCGACACAGCGAATGTGCACGCTTCAGTGCCTTGTGATTTCTGGCTAATCATCCAGTGCAATAACAAAGTCTATTCATAATGTTTGTGTCGTTCAAGTAAAGCCTCCACAAGGTCCAACAAAGTGAAACAAGGACCATAACTCTAGACGTAATTAACAGAAATTCATCGTTTCACTAATTTAAATAATGCGTATGAATTTCATACAGATTGGATGATAGTCTGTCATTAGAGCGTTCTCAAGGTGCAATAAAGTGAAATAAGGGACATAACTCTTGAAGAAATTAACGGAAATTGTGGAAATTGAATAGGCACCTTTGTCTCACAAATGTACACAACAAATATCGATTTCAAAACAAATCAAAGGGGCGACGGCAATATACATTTCCATGTGGGCGAACAAAAATGATACATGAAAATGTTGCCCTCAAGTTTACGTGAAATAATGAAACGAAATACGGTTTAACGTCCTACTGTTCTGGGCTAATGAAGTCGGGCATACGCCATGCATTGTGCTGTGAAGCAAATTCTGACCGGACAGCAGCGCTACGGTCTAATTGCCAAGTGATCTTTTATGTGCATGCCAATGGGTACATGAGACCTCGTTTTATTGCCCCATCAGAATGACTTTACGTTGTCTCTTGTCAGGCCTTCTATCCTACACAACTGACAAGGAGGAACCACGCAGGGAAATCCCGATGAACTTTCTTGGCCAAGGCAGGGATTGAACACGGGGCCTCCAGGTTAGTAAGCCGACATCTTACCCACTTAGCCACCATTTCCCCCTCTCAAGTTTACAAGCAAGTACGTATTCATATCGTAAAGTCTTATTTCTAATTTGCATTCCAACCAGCAAGGCTAGTTTAAGTGCAGGCTAACATTTTCTCTTGGCACATCCTCCGTACTGCACCACACCGGCTAATTCCGGACAGCATTGGGGGCGCCCTGGTGAGCCAGCTCCTCACTGATTTGTCGCCCTTGCGTCTACATAGCAAGTAAGTGTTTGTAATGCAAAATTGCAACATGTTTTAAACAGTAGGAATCAAATATGCATCTTACTATGGTGCTAACATCGTTATTGTCTAACAACCCACTATTTTCAATTTTAAAAATCTTTTATTCAACAAATTTATATACTTATTCAATTATTTTCACCATATGTTTTCTATGTACATTTGTCGTCACCAGCACATACTTTCTGTGGTTCATCCCAAACATGTTTTCCACAGCTTATGTACACTTTCTATTGTTTATCACTAGCACCTTATGTTTTGTATTGTTCATCACCTGCATGTATATATGTTTTCTATTGTTTATCACTTGCATGTTTATGTTTATCACCGGCATGTGTATGTTTTTTATTGTTTATCACAAGCACATGTATGCTTTCTACTGTTAATCACCAGCATGTGTATGTTTTCTATTGTTTATCACAAGCACATGTATGCTTTCTACTGTTAATCACCAGCATGTGTATGTTTTCTCTTATGTTTTGTTAAATTACCATTAAAACTACATGAAAAATCACAAATATCACATTTATAAGGTTTTTCTCCAGTATGTGTTCTAATGTGTGCCGTAAGTTTAGCACGTTTGTTAAATGCTTTACCACAAACATCACATTGAAAGGGTTTTATTCCTGTGTGTATTTTCATATGTTGAGATAAAGTACCATGGTGGATAAATGATTTCTTACAAACATCACATTTATAAGGTGTTTCTCCAGTATGGATTCTCAAATGTTTTTTCAAAGTACTGTTAAAGTGGAATGATTTTCCACAAACATCACATTTGAAAGGTTTCTCTTCAGCGTGAGTCTTTAAGTGTTGTGTTAGAGTATGATTGACGGAATACGATTTACTACAAATATCACATTTATACGGTCTGTCTCCTGCATGTATCATTAAATGTTTCTTTAAATTATAATTTGATTTAAATGACTTACTACAAACATCACATTTATATGGTTTCTCACCAGTATGTATTTTAAAATGTGTCTTTAAGTTACTGCTTGCATGGAAAGATTTACCACAAACATCACATGTAAATGGCTTTTCTCCAGTATGACTTCTAAGGTGTACCACAAGACTCGTTCTCAAATTAAAAGATTGATCACAGATCTCACAATTAAAAGGTTTTTGTCCCCGATGCATTACAGTATGACGTCTTAAACCACCCTTGAAAGTAAATGATTTATCACAAACATAACATTTATAGGGTTTCTGCCCAGTATGAGTGCTCATATGGTCACGTAGAGTATCTGCCTGAGCATATGATTTACTACAAACATTACATTTAAAAGGTTTTTCTCTGGTATGTGTTCTAGTATGGACTTTTAAACTAGCTCCCATAGAAAAACATTTTCCACAATAGTCACATGTATGTGGTTTTTCTCCAGTATGAGATCTAATGTGCCTCTGCAGATCACTTCTCTTAATATAAAATTTCCTACAAATATCACATTTATGTGACTTTTTTGCTGTATGATTTCTCGAATGTCTCTTCAAATGACTTGGACAATAAAATGCTTTACCACAAACATCACATTTAAATTTTTTTTCTCCAGTATGAATATACATGTGTTCCTTTAATTGACTATTTACAATAAATGTTTTAGTACAAACATCACATTTATATGGCTTCTCTATGCTGTGTATTAGTCGATGTCTCAAAAGGAATCTATTTAATGTAAATGACTTGTCACAAATATCACATTTATAAGGCCTTTCACCTGTGTGAACTCTCAGATGCTCTTTCAGGGAATCACTTCTTCTATATGATTTACCACAAACATCACATGTATAAGGTCTCTCCCCAGTATGAATTCTAAGGTGCTCTTTCAGATGAGCATTTGAATTAAATAATTTATCACAAACATCACATTTATGCGATTTCTTAGAAATTTTAACATTGCTATGTCCATCATCAGAAAATGATTTCCCTTTGCTATGAATTTTCATGTGTACCCTGAAATTATTATGCAGACTAAATAATTTTCGACAAACATCACATTTATATGGCTTCTCTCCGCTATGTGTATTGAAGTGTTTTAATAGACTTTCTTTGCATTTATATGATTTAATACAAACATCACATTCATAAGGTATCTCCCCAGTATGAATTCTGATATGGTCTTTCAGATAACCACTTCTTTTAAATGATTTATTGCAAACATTGCATTTAAATGGTCTCTCCCCAGTATGAACTCTAAGGTGTTCTATTAGATGAGCATTTGAATTAAATAATTTACCACAAGCATAACATTGATGCGGTTTTTTAGAAATGTTAACATTTTTTGGTTTTGGTTCTTTAAGCTTGTCAAAACACCCCTCACTATCTGTACTGCAAATGGGACCACTTGTATTTTCTACTGTCTCTTCTACATCAACAGTTTGTTCATTCTCAACATGAATTTCAAAATGTTCTTCAAAATCAGTGCTTTGTGAATTATTTGACAAATTTGTGCCTCTGATATGAATTTTCATGTGTTCCTTAAGATTATTATGCACACTAAATAATTTTCGACAAACATCACATTTATATGTCTTCTTTCCGCTATGTATTGTCAAGTGTTTTAATAGTGAGTCTTTACATTTATATGCTTTACTACAAACATCACATTCAAAAGGTATCTCACCAGTATGAATTCTGATATGGTCTTTCAGACAACTATTTCTTTTAAATGAATTATTGCACACATTGCATTTAAACGGTCTCTCCCCAGTATGAACTCTAAGGTGTTCTATCAGATGAGCATTTGAATTAAATAATTTATCACAAACATCACATTGATGCGATTTTTTAGAAAGGTTAACGGTTTTTGGCTTTGGTTTACTCAACATGCCAAAACACCCCTCCCTAACTGTACTGCAAATAGGACTACCTTTATTTTCTACTGTCCCTTCTACATCCACTGTGTGTTCATTCTCAACGTGAATTATTGTACCATGTTCCTCAAATTCGGTGCTTTTTGCATCATCAGACAATTTTGTGCCTCTGATATGAACTTTTATGTGTTCCTTAAAATTATTATGAACACTAAATAACTTTCGACAAACGTCACATTTATATGGCTTCTCTCCATTATGTGTATTGAAGTGTTTTAATAGACTTTCTTTGCATTTATATGATTTACTACAAACATCACATTCATAAGGTATCTCACCAGTATGAATTCTGATATGGTCTTTCAGATAACTATTTCTTTTAAATGAATTATTGCAAAAATTGCATTTAAACGGTCTCTCACCAGTATGAACTCTAAGGTGTTCTATTAGATGAGCATTTGAATTAAATAATTTATCACAAACATCACATTTATGCGATTTTTTAGAAATTGTAATAGTTTTTGGCTTTGGTTCACTTAACTTGTCAAAACACCCCTCACTAACAGTACTACAAATGGGACTACTTGTATTTTCCATTCTCTCTTTATCATCGTCTGTTTTCTCTTCTTCAACTTGAATTTCAAAATGTTCATCAGATTCGGTGCTTTGTGAATCATCAGACAATTTTGTCCCTTTGGTATGAATTTTCATGTGTTCCTTAAAATTATTATGAACACTAAATAATTTTCGACAAACATCGCATTTATATGGCTTCTCTCCGCTATGTGTATTGTTGAAGTGTTTTAATAGACTTTCTTTGCATTTATATGATTTAATACAAACATCACATTCATAAGGTATCTCCCCAGTATGAATTCTGATATGGTCTCTCAGATAACTATTTCTTTTAAATGAATTATTGCACACATTGCATTTAAACGGTCTCTCACCAGTATGAACTCTAAGGTGTTCTATAAGATGAGCATTTGAATTAAATAATTTATCACAAACATCACAATTATGCGATTTTTTAGAAATTTTAACAGTTTTTGGCTTTGGTTCACTTAACTTGTCAAAACACCCCTCACTAACTGTACTACAAATGGGACTACTTGTATTTTCCATTCTCTCTTTATCATCGTCTGTTTTCTCTTCTTCAACCTGAATTTCAAAATGTTCCTCACAATTGGTGCTTTGTGAACCATCAGACAATTTTGTCCCTTTGGTATGAATTTTCATGTGTGCCTTAAAATTATTATGTACACCAAATAATTTTCGACAAACATCACACTTATATGGCTTCTCTCCGCTATGTGTATTGAAGTGTTTTAATAGACTTTCTTTGCATTTATATGCTTTACTACAAACATCACATTCATAAGGTATCTCACCAGTATGAATTCTGATATGATCTTTCAGACAACTATTTCTTTTGAATGAATTATTGCAAATATTGCATTTAAATGGTCTCTCCCCAGTATGAACTCTAAGGTGTTCTATTAGATGAGCATTTGAATTAAATAATTTATCACAAACATCACATTGATGCGATTTTTTAGAAATGTTAACATTTTTTCGCTTTGGTTTACTCAACTTGTCAAAACGTTTCTCGCTAACTGTACTGTAAATGGGACTACGTGTATTTTCCATTGTCTCTTCTATATCAACAGTTTGTTCATTCTCAACATGAATTTGACCATGTTCCTCAAAATCGGTGCTTTGAGCATCTGCCAATTTTGTGCCTCTGATATGAATTTTCATGTGTTCGTTAAAATTATTATACACGCTAAATAATTTTCGACAAACATCACATTTATATGGCTTCTCTCCGCTATGCATTTCCAGATGTTTTAATAGACTTTCTTTATGTTTATATGCTTTACTACAAACATCACATTCATACGGTTTCTCACCGGTGTGAATTCTGATATGGTCTTTTAGATGACCACTTCTTTTAAATAATTTACCACAAACATCACATTCATAAGGTCTCTCACCGGTATGATCTCGAATATGTTCTTTAAGTTGATCACTTCTTCTAAATGATTTATTACAAACATCGCATTTATACTTTTGTATATAAATTTGAACATTTTTTGTCTGTGGTTCACTAAACTCATCAAAGTCCTTCTTCGCATCTGTACTGCAAACTTGGCTACTTGTATTTTCCACCTTCTCTTCATCATCATCATCTGTTTTCTCTTCTTCAATATCAATTTCACAATTTTTCTCTAAATTGGTGCCAGATGCTCGAAGTGACAATTTTGTCTTTCTGGAATGAATTTTCATGTGTTCCATAAAATTATTATGTGCGCTAAATAATTTTCGACAAACATCACATTTATATGGCTTCTTTCCGCTATGTATTTTCAAGTGTTTTAATAGCGAGTCTTTACATTTATATGATTTAGTACAAACATCACATTCATAAGGTTTCACACCGGTGTGAATTCTGATATGGTCTTTTAGATGACCACTTCTTTTAAATAATCTACCACAAGCATCACATTCATAAGGTCTCTCACCGGTATGAATTCTTAGATGTTCTTTTAGATGAGCATTTGATTTACATGATTTATCACAAACATCACATTTATATGATTTTTTAGAAATTTTAACATTTCTGGACTTTTGTTCACTAAACTCAAGGTTCTTCTCCCCAACTTTACTGCAAACTAGGCTACTTGTATTTTTCACCTCTTCATCATCATCATCATCCATTTTCTCTTCTTTAACATTAATTTCACAATGTTCCTCTAAATTAATTCTCCATTTAAATTCTTCACAATGAAGTGTTTCAACATCATCATTATCATCTGATTTCTCTTCTATAACTTGAATTTTTGAATGTTCCTCTGAATCACCAACTTGAATTTTACAATATTCCTCTGAATCACCAACTTGAATTTTACAATGTTCCTCTGAATCACCAACTTGAATTTTACAATGTTCCTCTGAATCACTAACTTGATTTTTACAATGTTCCACTAAATCACTTTCCCATTTAAATTCTTCACGATGAACTCTTTCAACATCATCTGTTTTTCCTTCCATAACATGAGTTTTACAATGTTCCTCTAAATCCCTTTCCCATTCAAATTCTTCATAACACAGTCTACATTGATGAACAATCCCATTGGGATCAATTTTCTCTTCTTTAACATGCATTTTACAATCGCTTTCCTGTAATATACAAAGTTACGACATCATTAGTTTCTTGTAATAATTATAACATCATAAGTTTGAAATTGAAGATTTTGACACACAATATACAGTAGATCTACTAGATTCTAAAGATCTAATTTACTTTTTAGAAAACCCTACCTGCTGACCCTACCCTATTTTTCATAGCAGGGGTATTCCCTGACAACTACAATGTTTTGAGAAAGATTTGAAGCAAAATTATGATAAATTACTTAATCTGAATATGTTTTTAGTCCAAATATATCATCAAATCACCCAGTTTGTACGCAGGAATGCATCTTTAAGTGGAAATAAATCCTCAGATTCATGTCTGCCTATGTGTGGGCCCATTTTTTTTCAAAATGCTGTCAGGCTGTGAGGCAGCATAAATTTGGTCATTTCCCAGTTAAATATATTTTTGTGAGCAACTCCGTATAAATACACCCTTTAAAGGTTTTTCTTAAATCAGTGGTGGTTTACAGCTTGCAACAATTTGTACATGCTATCTTGTTCGTACCTGTACCAATAAACTGACTGTCACTAACGCAGTAATCCGGCAATGTGAACACCGAGTAGGATTAGGCGGATTATCATCATTCGTTTGTTCGTGGGGTTTTATATCAAAGACTAATATCGGCATCATGCTCCTGATGGTGATTATTTTTTTTTCTCCCGAGATTCCAAAAATCTGTTTTTGCATTTATTTGAGAGAGTGTTCCATGTAAGTCATTGCTGCCTTAAACAGGTCTGTATTTGTTTATTTTATCGATATGCATAAATATTCTGATTTGATTATAAAAAAAAGAAAACGAGTTTTTAATATATACAGTTCAGTTACTGAAATAAACAGTCAGCTGACGTTGAAAAGTTATTGATTTATGATAGGTTATTGTGTAAAAAAGCCCATGTCATATGACCTCGTTAACTTTGATAAAACCCAAGATGTCATGTTTCATATTTATACAGATATATTATGTTATTCTATCTGATCTGATATCAATACATGCCTTATCGATGTCATAGTTCTGAAAGGCATCAATTCTCAAAAATTGTCGGATTTAGTTTTTAAGATATGAGAGAAAACCAACCCTATTCCAATCTTAATAATGCGATTAAGATATCAACATTTTTAAAAGCAATTTTTGGGTCGAAGTTACGATCTTAAAGTTATGAAATTTTGCATAGAGAAGCCTCCCCCCCCCTCCCCAATGCTGCCTTAAACAGGTCTGTATTTGTTTATTTTATCGATATGCATTTTAAGAGTATTGGAGCACGTGCCAATAATTATATCTGCTTTATTAACTCTAAAATAGGTTGAAAACAATTTGATACTATTAGCTAAAATTGACATTACAATATAATAAAACGATGTTGATAACCGAAAGACGCGACCCTTAGTTGCATCCCTTAGTTCCATAGTTTTGGCGAGAAAATTAAAAACAAAAATCTTTGTTTGAAAATGTGGTAGAATTCTATTACCGTGCAATAGAGCGGTACATGAGGCCTTTTTGCGGCACTCTACCACGTGACAGGTCAGTCATGTACCTTTTTTTTCCTGGATAAATATCCGCTCAAAATGAAGAATATATACTGCTTTGAATTTGGCGATTTAAAAACAAAAAACAAATACATTTCAATCGGTCCACAATTACGAGGCTTGATATTGTGCAAAGCACAATCTATCAAAAAATTTATTATAAATTTCAATTTGTGTCAGAAGTGGCAAGAAATGATTCCTTTTGCCGAACCAAAAAACTGAAGGTAGTCTACAACTAATCCAAAGAAGCATTACAACACACGTGGCAGTAGAGTGTTATCTTCATATTACAGATTAAATAGGATGGACTGGAAGGTCGGAAGACTTCGTCCGTTTCGAAAGGAACTACATTGTACTACATGTATCTTGGCGATAAATTTTCATTTTAAAGACTAACCATCATTATATTTATTTATAACTTAATTCTTTTTCTTATCCTGACACACTGGGTCTTGTCAATTCTGTTTATTTTGATGCAGTTGACTTATTTAGACAGAAACGAAACGAAGTCGCATGACAACTACCACCATAAATTCTTCCAAAACATTTAATTAATATAGTTATGTTGTAGACAAAAGCGTAGACCCGCTTCCCTCTGAAAACAATCATTTCCGGTGCAGAGCAGTTATTAGCTGTATCGTGAATAAAGGCGTGGATCTACTCAACACGAATAACTCATAGTCAATTCGTCCATACGTCCATTCCGATGCTGTAAACTCGGCAACAAAACTGGTTTGAAGGGAAGTTAACTCGTCAACAAAATAGTGAACCATATTCTAAATTACTTTGTGGAATTCTTCCAGTCGCAGTAAAACTCATAAAAAATTTACGATGTCTGTATACAAATAGCACAGTCTTATTGTGTCAAAATACTTATTTGGTCGTCGTATAGAAGGACCATAACGCGTGTATATATATATTCCCAAATCTTCAATTTTTAAACACCATATTTGCACACAAAAAAACCCTACGATTTTAAATTAAAAATGGCAATTTCACATAAAGAATGTTAACATAAATTACCATAAATTGATATAAATTATTGTGATAAGAATTGAAATAGTGGTAGATTTGGATGAGTTTCGATAATGTGGGTACATTTGGGTGAATTTGGCAAATCGTGCTTGTGCAAGTTAACTAGTCCACACGCAAACTCGTCCACAATTAAGTCGTCGACAAACAACAGTTAAGTCGTCCACGAGGTATTAGTAATGTCGTCCACAACTAATGGTTATGTCGTTCACAACTAATAGTTGACTCGTCCGCACGTTAATTCTATGGCATAAAAAAGGTTTTACTCATCGGCCGACACGGTTGACTGCCATTTTAATTCCTACACGTACGACATTAGTCGAAAGCACAACGTATACTTCGAGAATTTTGAAAAGTATTTATTCCGCATCCATTTTTATATTTAAAGAAACAGATTAGAAATGAAATGAAATGGGGTTTATCGTCCTACTTTCAGCACAATTTGCGCTAATAATGGGAGACATGTGCCATGCAGAGTTTAATGAGGAAAATTTTGCCCGGGCAGCGGCGTTTCCGCCCCTCATCGAATTCTAACTTCCAAGGGTTCTTTTACGTGCACGACAACGTGTACTGTCATGGTTATTTGTAGACACACACAAGACGTGTATTGAGTTCTTAAAACTAAATATTTGTATATTTTGTATAATTGTAGACATAACCAAAATGTGTATTAAGTTGGTATAAATATTTGTGTGTTTATAATCATAAACAAGTACATATTATAAATATTGGTGTATACCCGTAGCCATAGATACAGCGTGTATTGGGTTATACAAGTATTGATAACTTACTACACATCTTGTTTATAATTTTTGTAGACACAAGATGATGTGTATTAAGTTATCATGTAAGTACGTCTGTGTATTCAAAATAGATGATCCAATGATGACAAAAGTTTCCATTTGCAATTCATCATTAAATCTGATCACTAGATATTTTTAAATACCACTTCATAATTATTAGAAAGGAACATATCACCCGCATACATATTTTCTATTATTTACAATTATGATAATGCTACGCCTCATCAAATTCAGATACAGCTCCCCCCTAAACCGACGTGGGTATATATTTGTGACCAGTAAACTAGGGAATTATATTTCAACACCCGGTGATGATATTTTGGTATATCTTGAACTTCCAGAAAAAATGTTTTGCCAGTGGTATATATACAATAACTATTCTGATTTGATTATAAAAAAGAAAACGAGTTTTTAATATATACAGTTCAGTTACTGAAATAAACGGTGAGCTGACGTTGAAAAATTATTGATTATGATAGGTTATTGTGTAAAAAAGCCCATGTCATATGACCTCGTTAACTTTGATAAAACCCAAGATGTCATGTTTCATATTTATACAGATATATTATGTTATTCTATCTGATCTGATATCAATACATGCCATATATTGGTGAAATAGAATGAGATAAAATTGAATAAATGAAATGGGGTTTAACGTTCCGCTGTTCTGCTCCGACTGGGGTTAATGAGGACGGCAAATGAAATAAAACAAGATGATTAATGACCTACTTGTAGTCACAAACCTGGCTCACGAAGATGTCATTGGGACCATTTTTTCCGAACAGCGACATTTGCGCGTACTCTTCATCTAATATGCTTTACAGCTTCTTAAACAATTTGATTAGGTACTTCGTTGGCATTTTATAGATTCGCACGAATCCATTAACATTTATTTCTATAGTTTGGAGTTCAGACGGTCGCTGTTCTGTTTCACGTGACGATGGAACTTGGACTATACTCCGACATTTTATTAATTCACCCTTAATCCGGCGGAGAGAACTATACTGGCGATTTGTTTCAGGAAAACTAATGTCCTAGTTTGTAATTATATTTCAAGGTATTAATAACATTTTTTGGAGCTGGAGGAAAAGATTGAATTTATATTTGTTTGTTTATTAAAGTATTTAAATTTTTTATCTGATTGATATTGGTTTTATTAAAGTTAATGAAGTTATGTGAGCTGAACAATACTAGATATTTTCAATATCTGCAGAATAAAAAAAAAGTTTTTTAATTACAGATGAATACATAAAACCTTACAATAAACCAATTGTTTTTTGACGTCATCTGCAGATCACCTTTCCTAATAACGTTCTGTTCATTTTCAATCAAATCACATTTTTGTCTCATCATTCTCTTGTCTCATCATTCTTTTGAGTCTCATCGTTGTTATTTTCCAATCGACAGGGTCCGCAAAAATTTGAATTAAATCGATTTTCCCGCGATTTCGAGGGCGTATAGCACCTAACCCCAGGGGATGTGCAACTTAAGAATTCCCATTCTCATCATCGGCCATGATGGTGCCTCCGTTAGGCATAGTACCAATTTTGTCCGCGAGTTTAGAAACAGGAACAGGGAAAATCAATAGGGCCCCACCCTCTCATTGTTCCAAGGCCTCACATCGAATATGAGCCTGTGGCCTTATCGCGTTCACATGGTTTTTGGAAAAGTTTGGTTAATCGAGAACGGAAGGTCACGAAAGCCAAAAATATCAGCTTCACACCAAATTTGAAAATTAAACACGGTTAAAACTGTAGCTTCTGTCGCTTCCACAGAAGGTCGAGGAATGCTGATTATGTTCCCAATCGAATTCGACACACTTTGTTAGGCTTTGTATATATGTAAAGCCATAACCCAAGCAGTTGCACCAAAATCGAAATCAACCAAGATCTTTTGATAAACGAGCAAAACTTAAGGCATAAATTAATGCCAAACTGTGGCCGTATACAAATTTACATAATTGACAGATTTGTATTTATAGCTGCGTATCAGTATCATTGACAGTCCAAAGAACCTTAACTGTAACCTGCAGCTGACTACTTGCATCATCAACAGCGTTTTTGTTTAGACATTTACATACAAGACACGAAATTGAAACTAAATCAAACGTAGCGGCTGGTGATCACAATGATTGCTAATGGCACACTTGCTACATTTCCGCATGTAATCTGTTCAGATTCACAATGATACATATCATCTTTTCAAAGCACGGATTTTAGATTCTTGAAGCACGGATTTTTCATTTCGAGGCACGTCCGTGCCTGTAGGCACGTTAAAATAGGCCCTGTTCTCTTGTGTCCCCATTATCTTGTCTCGTGTCCCACCATTCTCGTCTAGTGACACGTAAGTCCAGTTTACACCCATAATCGAGTTATTAATCAAAGATACAGCATTCAAGAGAATATCCGTATGGATACTAAGTCTACTAGTTACGTGAACATGTGAAGACATACTAGTGTCATTTATATTCTCAACCTGTTTATCTGCTACATTCAAAGCAGTCGTATACGCATTTGGCAAAATCCAAGCAACTAAACTGCAGTTGTTAATATGGATTGTTTGAGTAATTTCAAAATCTTTTATGGTGTCGTATTGAATGCCCACATTTGGATGTCAGCGATTTCTGGTAACAAATCTAAAGTTAATGACCTTTTTTATAACCTCAGGAATATTCTAGCAAACGTGATTAACTGATCGGTTTGAAATTGATATTCTGTGTTCAGAATCCCATCGAATGTCAACACGTTATGTTGATTACTTCTAGACTTACGACCCTTGTTGAATTATACATTGTTCAGATTAGGAAAACAGGACAAATAGCCCGGGCCCTGTTTCTCGAAATCTTAACTAAAGATAAAATCCAAATTGTAGTAGATACTTCATTTTTGATTGGCTAAGCACTAAAATCAATCTAATATTATCCAATCAGTTACTAAAATTTCGATTTTTATTTTAGTTAAGATTTCACGAAACGGGCCCCAGATTTCAATAATCACCATTAACCATTATAGAGTTATGACCCTTGGTCACTCCTCTAACGCGGCCAGCGGTCACAATCTTACTAATAAATTCAACAAAACATCGCCCATTCAACGGCCATTGTTGAATGGTACCATCTTGTCGTTCTTTGTAACACCAACGCTAATCCCGTGAGTAGTAGTTAATTAACTGGACCCCCACTGATCAGGTAAAAAGAAATGTAAAAATAACAATCAACCCGGGATTATCTGTTAATTAATCTTTTGTTTTATCAAACGACTAACCTGATCATTGTTTTCACGCGTAACGACACATTATTTGATACTGATTGAATAAAATAAAAGTACCGAGTTTTGTCACGCTCTTCTAGTATTTCTTTTCAATTGCCACTTTATTGTTTTAATAAGCGAATTATTGAAATAAAACTGAACAATGTGTTTGTCCCGAAATGACCTAGTTTGTGTCAAGTGGACATTAAAACTCATTTCTCTCCTTCTCTCTTCTAAAAGTCGGAATATCTGAGGTTTACGTGATTACATTGTATACAAATCCACCGAGGTTGGCAATTGAAGAAATATAATTCCCACCAATGTACATCCCTTTTAGATTACATCACATGACTTTACACACGATATTGATTGGTTCTGTCGTCTATATAATGTCACATTTAGAACACCACTAAACAGTTGCTTGTAACACAGCTAATAAGAACGACGTAAGTATAATCTAGTAATTATTTAAATAATGTGAAATGAAATGAAATGAAAT